ATATATATATATATATATATATATATATATCTTAATCTGTGGCACAGTTACTTCAACTTTGATCCGAATTACCACAATATACTCACTCTTCCCCTAATTTTTAAAACCTTCCTCAGTCTTTTGCGCCCTCTTTCCCGCCTCCAAGTTCGTCTCAAAAGCCACCTCCAGTGATTGGAATCATTGATCTAGACCTCAAAAATCCGACATCCTTGTCTAAATCTTCCCAGCCTGAGTTAGCCAAATCGACTACAGCTTCTGAATCCATGCAGTCGTCCGGTAAGCCTATTGTATCTGTATTTTTAAAAAATTGTTTTAGCCTTCTGCTTTCCACTTATCTTGACTAGTCGGACAAGCGAAATTGAAAAACCTAAAGCTTTTAGTTAGTATTGCTTTACTACAAAAAATTGTATGATCCACCCAAGCCAATCTCATATTTATTTCTGGTTATGACTAGATTAAGAGCTAGTGCTACAATTTCCTTATACTTGGAATTGTTTTTATTCTTTACATTGTGGAATGATTTATTAGTATTAAGAATAGCGTTTAAAGCATAGTCCTTTAAAGTAGAGGAAGAATTAGTGCAACTATTTGATCCATTCTTCATACTATCAATCTAGATTCTAGTTAATCGGGGTTTTTCGAATCCGTTATAGACATAAAGTGAATATATGTGTATATATATAGGTCTTATTTTCATTCTAAAATGAGGACTCTCCAACCCTATAACAATCCTCATTTCATTTGCCTTTTATTCGGAAAGTTAATGCCTTTATTATTATTGGGTTCGGCTTAAGTTGATGACTGAGTATCTTATGTTACGTCTGATTTTAGGACTTTTCTGTGCCTTATTTAATAGTGGCATGGACTTTTAGTATCCTATCGCAACAATCTAAACTTTGGCTGTAGATGACATTATACTCTATGTTGTATTTTCACTTTTCTAAAATTTCCAGAAAAGCTCTATTCGTCCTATTTAGGGGCTTGTTTAAAATACATACACCTTATCTGTTTATATGCATCAGTTGATAGATCAGTTTCTTTTTCTCTCTCTATAATTGTACTTATTGTGATTTTTGTCTCCTATCCGACTTTTTTCTAAAAGACAATCCAGTATTTTGGTCTACATGCTCCTTAGCCGGCGCTTCTCAAACAGACATTGTAGAGAGCTTCGATTTTTCATCCAATCTGCAGGCTACATTGTGCCCCCCAAGGCCTCCTTCTCCTGAATTCAGTCAGGTAACCACCCTGCTATAAGTAGCAATTTTGATTAGTTTTTAAATTAGATTTTTCTATTCTAACTGATTTTATTTCTTGATTTCCCCGAAGGAATACTAAATAATTGTTGTAGCTGAGTAATAATGAAATCTGGTTACCCATACTATGGACAATCTTTTTGAATTTTTGGCAATGAAATTATATCTAGGCTAAGTAAGAAATTTTTTGGATTTTTAAAATATAAAATCACGGCTGAAATTTTCATGTAATTATTTTATTTATCCTCAGCCCTTGGAACATTCGGCAATTTATTCTGTCCATCGTCTCTCAAAACCACAAATCGACCTCAGACAGGGCTTACTAAATTGGGCCGTCTTTGAGCATTTGGATGCCACTTAAATTCATCTTAGCTCATTTGCCTATCCCACAATATGAATAAACTTTTATGATAAACTGTTTAATATAAAAGTTGTTTGATCTTGGTTTCGCAACTTGGTCATATTAGCATGAAGACATAGAGGAACGCACCTTGTCTGGAGTCCATAGTATGCTTGATCATTTCCAGGGTCGGACCGTGGACTTGGCACATTCCCAGACTTTTCGCTGGCATCTTATTCGATATCATCAGTGAGTCTTACAATTCTCAACAAACCAATCTACAACTCGTCAGAGACAAGTAAAGCCGATCCTTTGATTAATTGTCTCTTTGACAAGTTGTAGCTTGGTGCTGAGAGTGGCAAGACTCACGGACGATGCCGTCGAAACTTCTGGGAATGTGCCAAGTCCACGGTCCCACTCTGAAAATGATCATGGACAAGGTGCGTTTCTCTAGGTCTTCCTGCTAATATGGACAAGTTGCGAAACCAAGGTAAAACAACTTCTATAAAACGAAAGGCCATACAAAATGCCACACCATCCTGGTCTTCATACTTTCGATGTCTGATATAAGTTTATATTCTAATTTAATTTTAGTCTCTATGGGAGCTCCATATATCTTTAATGTGTTCTTTCAGAAGTCTCATTAATATTCTATTGTCCTGATTTAGTATCTTTAAATGCTACTTTTTGGAGACGTTGCTGAATTCATTGATTTTTTAAAAACAATTAAGACCTCAGTTCTACTCATATCACGTTTTAAAATCATTTAATAAATAAATCTGTATTGGCATTATTATGACTCGGCTTATGAATATCGCTTTTATATGCTGCACAAATTAACATTAGGCTTGACAAATGATCTGAGTATTAATATTTATTTGCTTACAAAATATAGCTGTTAAGTTATACTCACAAATTGCGTTTCATGATGTTTGAAATTGAGGGACTTTCATCTTTTATCAAAAAAAGCAGAGTTACATGAATCAAATTTTCGTACTAGAGTACTAGGTTTTGTTTTGGCTATGCAAATAAATGAAGCCCCATTGACTCCATGACACCTAGCAACGAAGGAATTACGTGACACCATAACGATATAGAGAAGCAAACACCAGTTTGCTTGATTTACCTCCGTAATTTATTTTTCATACTTTATTGTCCAGAAGTCGTCTCTTTTACACTTTGGAGATGATAATAGTAGTCTAAAACAATCTGCATCCTTATTACTTTGACTTTTCTGCTGAGCATATATTCAAATTTGTCTTTCCTCCGCTTAGCTTAACTTAGATTTAAGGGTGATTCAGGCCTTGATAATTGAGCTGACCGCAATTCAGTGAATACAAGGTCTTACCATATCATTATATTTCACTTAGCTCTGATTTCTTAAAGTATTTCTAATCCAAGTTGTAATACAGTTCCTACATCGTCCAAATCTCATCAGACGGTCGTATTGACCGAGTAGCAACACTACCACTCAAGACTGAGCAGCTAGTTATCATTGAGGAAATTCTATAGAATAAGAGGTCTGTTGAATTAACTGGGCTTTGGCTTATTTGCATGGGGACTTCGCAGCTGACGGCGCGCATTGTTTTGAGTAAGGCACTTGCAACGTAATCCATCGCCTTATTTGACCTCTACACTATTTCGTAACTTCTCAATTGATTTGTTTTGCAATCTTTGTGTTTGATTCAAATACTCACTAACATTTCTTGTGACCTTAAAAAACAGACACTATGGTCCTTTCTGCTGACCTATAGGTAAAACCTAACTTTCAAGATGATGAAAATTTGTGTTTCCATTCCATGCTCGCACTTTTATTCCGAGTTTAAAGCAACAAGCCCACTCAGGTTTCAACTAATAAAATAGAATATCTTGCCTAACCTCTTCGAAAAGTTGATTTTGATCTCAGTCGTGGTTCACTTTTCTAACAAGTTAAAATTAGTGGAACTCAGCCTGTAGAAATCTTTTTGAATGTAGAAATGATTTGGCATCGTTTTCACAGTTCGCTCATGTTGTCATGGCGCCTAGATAAACGAACC